CTCTAGAGGATCCCCATTAAAACCGCTTTTGTCCTTATTTATGGGCGTGTGAACTCTACCCACCCTCATCGTATCCGAAATGTCGTTCACTACATTAAGATACATACATTAGGCGATATTAAATGTCTGTACCTGTTGCACTTCTCCATAAATAAGAGGATTTGTTTCTTTAAAACCGCTTTCGTCCTTATTTATGGGTGTGTGGACTCCACCCACCTTCATCATATCCGAAATGTCGTTCACTACATTAAGATACATACATTAGTCGATATTTTGTGTCTGTACCCGTTGCACTTCTCCATAAATAAGAGGATTTGTTCCTTTAAAACTGCTTTCATCCTTATTTATGGGCGTGTGGACTCCATCCACCTTCATCGTATCCGAAATGTCATTCACTACATTAAGATACATACATTAGTCGATATTAAATGTCTGTACCTGTTGCACTTCTCCATAAATAAGAGGATTTGTTCCTTTAAAACTGCTTTCGTCCTTATTTATGGGCGTGTGGGCTCCACCCACCTTCATCATATCCGAAATGTCATTCACTACATTAAGATACATACATTAGTCGATATTTCGTGTCTGTACCTGTTGCACTTCTCCATAAATAAGAGGATTTGTTCCTTTAAAACTGCTTTCGTCCTTATTTATGGGCGTGTGGACTCCGCCCACCTTCATCGTATCCGAAATGTCGTTCACTACATTAAGATACATACATTAGTCGATATTTTGTATCTGTACCTGTTGCACTTCTCCATAAATAAGAGGATTTGTTCCTTTAAAACTGCTTTCGTCCTTATTTATGGGCGTGTCGACTCCACCCACCCTCATCGTATCCGAAATGTCATTCCCTACATTAAGATACATACATTAGTCGATATTTTGTGTCTGTACCTGTTGCACTTCTCCATAAATAAGAGGATTTGTTCCTCTAAAACTGCTTTCGTCCTTATTTATGGGCGTGTGGACTCCGCCCACCTTCATCGTATCCGAAATGTCGTTCACTACATTAAGATACATACATTAGTCGATATTTTGTGTCTGTACCTGTTGCACTTCTTCATAAATAAGAGGATTTGTTTCTTTAAAACCGCTTTCGTCCTTATTTATGGGTGTATGGACTCCACCCACCTTCATCATATCCGAAATGTCGTTCACTACATTAAGATACATTCATTAGTCGATATTAAATGTCTCTACCTGTTGCACTTCTCCATAAATAAGAGGATTTGTTTCTTTAAAACCGCTTTCGTCCTTATTTATGGGTGTGTGGACTCCACCCACCTTCATCATATCCGAAATGTCGTTCACTACATTAAGATACATGTACATACATTAGTCGATATTTCGTGTCTGTACCTGTTGCACTTCATAAATAAGAGGATTTGTTTCTTTAAAATGTGCTTTTCTCCATATTTATGGGTGTGTGGACTCCACCCACCTTCATCGTATCCGAAATGTCGTTCACTACATTAAGATACATGTACATACATTAGTCGATATTTCGTGTCTGTACCTGTTGCACTTCATAAATAAGAGGATTTGTTTCTTTAAAATGTGCTTTTCTCCATATTTATGGGTGTGTGGACTCCACCCACCCTCATCGTATCTGAAATTTTGAAGACAACATACATTAGGATCAAGAGACTATTGTTGTACCTGTTACTGATGTAAGCTCATAACTACATGTACTGTATAAGTAGAAACATTAATATAACATACCGTACATTAGGATCAAGTCAGAGAGACTGCTCTTATGCATAGTATGTCAAAGGAAGAACCTTCAATTCAAAAACAGAATGAGANACAGAAAAGACTTGCAGTAAGCTTCATTCAAAGATGCTGTGCATGAATTTATTATACAAAATAGAGTAAAGAAACTAGCACAGATATAGGAGAAATGGTAAACT